CCCTAGCTGGTTTGAGTTGGATCTCTGTGACTTGTAGTCAGAAGACCCAACTAACACAGGGAATGAAGACAGGAACTAGGAGGCCAACTTACCCAGGCTCTCTGTGGCTTCCACACAGACACTAGGATACATGCCCTCAGTGTAAGTTGCCACCAGAAGATACAGATGGGTCTTCACGACAACCACACCAGCGTTCTCCTGGATAAAGAATAAAAGAGAATATTCTGCTCTTGGTTCTAATTACAGGACCAGTAGTCATGCTCCAGCTACGTTTTTCACCATTTCCTGATTTCCGTATTCCATATATTTATATGTCTGCTTTTGGACTGTCCACTCTTTTCCACCAATTTTGTTGCCTTTCCTCAAAAAGTTTCAGACTGTTATAATAATGGTAGATGGATTCTGAAAAGTTCTGCAATTGATTATCACATACCCCATCCCAATTAGAACAACTGATGTAGGCCGGGTGCGGTGGCTCCCGCCTGTAATCCCAGCACTTTGGGAGGCCAAGGCGGGAAGATCACCTGAGGTCAGAAGTTTGAGACCAGCCTGGCCAACTTCATGAAACCCCGTCTCTACTAAAAGTACAAAAATTAACCAGGCGTGGTGGCAGGCGCCTGTAATCCCAGCTACTCAGGAAGCTGAGGCAGGAGAATCTCTTGAACCTGGGAGGTGGAGGTTGCAGTGAGCCGAGACCACGCCATTGCATTCCACCTTGGGCGACAAAAGTGAAACTCATCTCAACAAAAACAAAATCAAACAAACAAAAAGCAAAACTGATGTAATGGAAAGGTCGTACATTTTGGAATTGGACAGCCCTGGGCTTGAATTCTAGTGCCTCCATTTTCTGCTGCGTGTGTAAGCAGTGTCCTCATCTTTAAAATGAGATTATAGATTATTTATAATGTGGATGAAGCAGCATGCCTAACCTATAATATAGGGCATCCAATGAATGATTTTCATCTCCTTCATTCCTTACAAGCAACATAGAGCTGAATTTTTTTTTTTTTTTTTTTGAGATGGAGTTTCGCTCTTGTTGCCCAAGCTGGAGTGCAATGGCATGATCTCAGCTCACTGCAACCTCTGCCTTCTGGGTTCAAGCAGTTCTCCTGCCTCGGCCTCCTGAGTAGCTGGGATTACAAGTGCGCACCATCACACCTGGCTAATTTTATTTTTAGTAGAAACAGGGTTTCACCATGTTAGCTAGGCTGGTCTTGAACTCCTGACCTCAGGCGATCCACCCACCTCAGCCTCCCAAAGTGCTGGGATTACAGGCGTGAGCCACCGTGCCTGGCCACTGAGAGATGTTTTAAGCGCATACATGATTATCTTTTTTTTGAAGGAGGATGTAGAGTATGAAGGCTGGACTGTATTGGAAAGAGTTCAGGCAAGGCTCAGTTAATAGATTCTGGAATGAACATTTCTCAAAACCAGGCTCTTGATAGGACTTTCTTTCACATATGTCTTCCTGGCACTAGACTGCTATCTCAAGACAGTGGCTCAAGACATTAATGGATTTAATCTGTTTTACAGAGAGGATCAGGCAGGGCAAGGAAAATTGGAGGCAAATTCTTTTCTTTTACTCAGCTCTCTTCAAATCTTGAGTGCTCACATTTTTGGCATAAAGAGAATATTCATCTGCTCGGACACATCTGTAATCCTTTTCCTTGAAATACAATCCTTCTCTTCGGGTTTGCAAAGGGTTCTTGGCAAATCCATTCACCAGTGTTCGGACATCACTGGGCATTACCTGGAGAGGTTACATAGTTAGAACAGGAGTCAGCCAACTATGGCTGGTGGCCAGTCAAATTTAGCCCACTGTCTGTTTTTTATGGCCTGCAAGCTAAGAATGGTTTTCATGTTTTTAAATGGTTGGGGGAAAAAAATCAAAAGAATAACACTTCGTGACACAAATTATATGAAATTTGAACTTCAGTATCCATAAATATAAAATTTTATGGGAACACAGTCAGATTCATTCTTCTATGTATGGCTGTTTTTCCTTTACAATTGCAGAGTTGAGTGGTTGTGACAGAGACTCTATGGCCCTGTGCTGTAGTTTGAATCTCATGTTGAAATCTGATCCCCAACATTTTGGGTGGGGCCTAATGGGAGGTATTTGGATCATGGGGGCAGATCCCTCATGAATAGACTGATGCCTTCCCTGCGAGGTGGGGGAAGCTGTCAGTGAGTTTTCACTGTATTTGTTCCAGGAGAGCTGGCTGTTAGAAAGAGCCTGGCACCTCTCCACTTGCTCTCTCTTGCTTCCTCTCCCCCACTGTGATCTCTGCACATGCTGGCTCCCCTTCACCTCTGCCATGAGTGGAAGCAGCCTGAGGCTTTCACAGATGACTAATCTTCCAGGCAGTAGACCTGTGAGCCAAATAAACCTATTTTCTTTATAAATTACCCAGCTTCAGGTATTCCTTTATCTCAACAGTAAAAAGACTAAGCCTAGAAACCTAAAATATTTATGTAGCTCTTTACAGAAAAAGTTCATTTAAAAGTCATGTCTGGGCTGGGCACGCTGGCTCCTGCCTGTAATCCCAGTACTTTAGGAGGCCGAGGCAGGTGGATCATCTGAGGTCAGGAGTTCGAGACTAGCCTGACCAACATGGTAAAACACCATCTCTACTAAAAATACAAAAATTAGCCGGGCCTAGTGGTGCACTCCTGTAATCCCAGCTACTAGGGAGGCTGAGGCACAAGAATCGCTTGAGAGGCGGAGGTTGCAGTGAGCTGAGATCGCGCCACTGCATTCCAGACTAAGCAACAAGAGAGAAATTCCATCTCAAAAAAAAAAAAAAAAAAAAGTCATGTCTGCTTCATGTTTGGAAGAATAGAAATAATAAGTAAACCAAGTCTTATGTCCAAACTTGTTTTTTCTTACATTAAAACCTGGTGATGCTACACACAGGCTCCGCTCCTGGATTTTGATGAGGGCTGCACTGTCCACATGCTTGGTTCCCAAGAGGGTGTCTAACAATAAGCTCTGCAAATGGCTCATGTTCCCTCAACTCTGAAAGGGAAAGTGCAGTTGAAGCCATTGACTCTGGCTAGCTTTTAAAAGGCATGTGAATACAAATGTCCTTAGGACACTTCAGACAGTTCTAAGATCAGCAAGTGTACTTTGAAAAGACACAGAGTGAAAACGGTGGTCCATCATTCAGGGCCCACCAATACCCAAAGAGAAAAACAGAATCATAGAAAAATCACAGCTCACACAGAGTAGGTTATGAAGCTGAGTTTGGAAAATCACAGCCTCATGATTTTCTGGCTATGTCAATGGTTTACATCAGGATCATCTGGGATTTAAAAACAAACATTGTACACTGAGAAAAACCCTGTAAAATAAAAAAATAAAAACAAAAAACAAAACCCAGGACGGAGCGCTACTCCGCTAAGTTAAACACGACTAAAAGAGATATGCGTGGCCATAAACCCACACATTCCCTTCCCGGTGACCTGCATCAGCGCCCACTATGAACGCTGATCAACATCCCAACGGACTAAAAACACCTTGAAGGCACTTAAACCCACATTTCCCGCACAAGTCCCCAAGCCTTGGACCCTCCCTCCTTAGGACCTCCGGCACAGGCGCCCCTTTCCCGCCACTGCCTTCCAGTGGTTTGGTCCCCGAGCAGGACCGAAGGCGGGGCAGGGGGTGGTGAGCGGTGAATTCCCCGGCACCGAGGACTTGAGGGA